GTGGAAAGTCCTGTGGATCCAGTGGCAGGGGATGCATCTCCAGGGCTCTGGCTGCCATCAGGATGACTTCATGTGGCTTGTCTACAGGAGGTCAGGCAGAGAGAGAGAGAAAGTGTACCCTACCTGCAGAGAGGAGGGGGGTTCCCAGCATCCTCATGATTAAGGCACGCCCACAAGGAGACATCTTCAGACTGTGACTGACAGGCTAGACTCCACCCCTTCATTCTTTTATCAAGTTGACATGAAATTGTGTAACTAGCATAGGTGACTACATGAGCAGGTGCAACCAGTCCCCTGTCTGCCACAAATCAGGCCTTTGTTGTTGTACACTCTTGTGTAATCTTTTCTGAATCTCTAAATAGAAAGCTTGATTGATAGTCTGACCTGGTGGTTAAGAGACTGACCTAGTGGAATTGGGAAGTTGACAAATGTATAGAACTAGGTTTGTCATCAATTGATATTTCACCCCTTTTGAAACAAGAAAATCACTCATACACTTGAGTTTTTCCCGTAGCGCTTTCCTTCAACACCACAACAGTTTCTGTGACATTGTTCCCGATCAGGAAATACAATTTCACAACTGGACGCTGTTCTCTTAAATCTGCCATCACACACACACACACACACACACACACACACACAAAACCCCATGGCTTTTAATGAAATTTCTTTTACAAAAATGCACTGTGACCAGAGAAAACCTTCCCAGCAGATGCCACTGGGTGCACTAACTCAAAGCAAGTTATTTGATGCATGCCTAGTGGGGGAAAAAGCGTACTATGAAAACTCCACGCAGCACAATTCTGTTTGGAGGGAGGAACCCTCTCATATGTAAATGGATAGGTAAGATTGTGTAAAATATGGCAGAAAAAAATGTATAGGGAAAAGGAATAATAAGGGTTCCTGAGGGGTAGGATGGGGAAGGGAAGGGATAAAGAGGAGCTGATATCAAGGAGTTCAAGAAGAAAGCAAATGCTTTGAAACTGATCGTGGTAGCAATTGTACAATACTGCTTGATGTGATTGAACTATGAATTGTTATGCTATCTGTAAGCTCTCCCAATTTTAAAAAAAAATGTAAGTGATGTCTACAATTTTCATTTTTCCTTACCCAGCTTTACTGCATCTTGACAGTGGTTGTCAACTCGACATCTAGCTACACAGTAGAATCACCTGGAGAGCTGTCAAGACATGCAAATACTTGGCGTTCACTCAGATTGGGTAGGCCTGAAATGAGTTCAGTCCCTCAGCTACCCAGGTGATTCTCATGTGCAGCCCAGACTGAGAATAAGCCTCTTGACTGCATGGAACTTGATGGTTGGAAATGTAGGATTTCACTTGGGATTTTAGGCTTTTGCTTTTTTTAAATTTTTGAGTACCATATAGTAAAGGAGAACTGTGTGGATATTTATCAAATGAAGAATCATAAATGAAAAATATAAAATCCTGACTGGTCCATCTCATTGCTAATGGGAGTTGTTTGATCTTTTTCACCCAAATAGTCAACTTGGGACTCTAAAGGAAGGAAACGGCATGTGTCCTTGCTGACTTGTAGAAGACTCAGAAATCGGGCAATTGGGGTAGAAAGGGCCCTTTTCACATTCTATTGTCTACCTATCTGGTTTGCCAAGCCCTTACATTTCCCAAGCAAAAGCATTAACTCTTATCATGATCACAGTTGTCCGCTTGATCTTTTTATTAACTTGTCAGGTCATTGTGCTTTTTTGAGTCTTTTTAAGAAACCATTCCATAGATTTTAGCGCAGAAAAAAGTTTAGTTTGTCTTATTTTTCAGGTGAAGATATTGAAAACCAGAGGGTAAAAGTGACTTATCCAAAGTCTCGTAGCCAGGTTGAGGCAAAACCAGGACTTATCTCTCATTGGCATGGTCCCCAGTGTTCTGAAAGAGGCACAATCCAATCAGAAAGATTTTCTCTTCATTAAACTGCCAAATGTATGACTTGCCAAGCTGCTAAATGACTCATTTTTCTTCTATTCCAGAAAACATCAGTGTCGTTCCCCTCTGTGATCTTGTCAAATCTGGTTATGGCATTTAGATGTGAGGGGAGGGAGAGGGCAGACAGCAACCAGAGCCATAGAGCAACTGAATTAAATCGAGAGCATGGAATGTATACACCAGGCTGTATGAGACAGCCCATGGATAAACTCAGATGTATATGTAATAACTTGATATGTTTAAAGCATAATATATAATTCTAATGTCTTGAAAATCAAATGTACAGTCAGCACGCTATCCTTCCTACTCCCACCAAATTACACCTAAAATGTTCTTTTTCTTAATCTTTCTCTCTTAATGGGTAGGTTGTTTTTGCTACTCATAGACTGATACAGCTCCACCAGATGAAAACCAAATTCACGTCCGTTGGGTCAATGACAATTCATAGGGACCCTATAGGATAGGCTAGAACTGTCCCTGTGAGTTTCAGAGACTGTAACTCTTCATGGAAGCTGAAAGTCCTGTCTTTCTCCCAGTGAGCCAATGGTGGTTTTGAACTACTAACCTTTCAGATCACAGTCCAACACATAACCACTACACCACCCAGAGGGACCACAAAATCATTCAGCCATCTCCCTAATTTCGTTAAAACGAATAATAAAAGCCCGGTTCTAGGACTCATTCTTGCTCCCATGACTGGATTAGCTATGGTAACCCAGAGATAACTCTGGAGACAAGGCCAGGATTTCAGGGCAATTCTTATGAACACCAACTAACTTGGAATAGAAGGTGTAACTCTTGAGCCAAGAGTGATCAAGCACTTACAGTCCGTTAGCTGGATGCACACTGAGGAGGGCAGAAAGGGAACGTGACCCGGTACTGCTCTCCAGGACTCCTAGAGAGCTCAATCTTCTGCTAAAACCAGAGTTCTCAGTTCTCAGAAATAAGCACTCTCTCAGCCTTAATGTGAAAAAAAGAAGAAAATCTAAAAAAGAAGAAAAAAGAACATCTAAAACAGAAGACTAGGTAGGGCCCAGCTGGTATGACTCATGTGGACGGGATGAAGGCAAATTCAGTGGCCTAAGAAAGTTTCGAGGGGAACCCGCCCAGAGAGGATAACTTGATCTCCTTGGGAAAATCAATGTCTTCCTCGGAGTCTTTGATAAATCCCAGTGTTATCCCAGTTGGCTGTTGTATGACATGGCACAAGACCAGATCCGTGGGATAGCTGAGTGATCGGCAGCTGAACTATATTATAAAAGAGTGCTCTTCTCTTTGGAAGCACTTTAAAATGATCTGCATTGGCTAGTTTACCACACACCATGGTGAATTTGATTAATGCCATTAAACTATGTAAAAATGATGGAGATCGCAAATGTCTTAGCACATGTATTTTACCACAATTAAAGACAAAAAAATGTGAACAGATTGGCACACGCCTTTTTTTCCTAGAGTGAGGGAGATCGTCTCCATTGCAAATGGATGGTTGGCCACGGGAGCCCCAGAGACAACACTTAGAGATTGTCAGCCATGCGATATGAAATCTTTCCCCCATGATGAGAATTAATGTGAAGCTGCTTCACTGGCTGCTCGCCGTACCTTTCTCATCACATCATTCTAACTTCTTCTCCAAAGTTGGTGCCTAGCAGAGCTGTATTCCTGAAAGGTTCCCCAATGGTTTGCCATCTGTCAAGAGTGAGACACGCTGTCACCTTTATAATGAGCACGAGCGGGCACCTAACACCTAAATTCTCACACCTTCTGTAGCACACACTCTCAGAAAGAGTAGCAGTTGCTCAACTGCATGCACTCCCTGCTCCAGAGGGGTGTCCGCAATGCAAATGTTTGCTCTGGCAGGGAAAGCCTCCCAGTGACCTCCCAGGGGACGATTTGAATCAACACTTGTCATCATTGGTGTTTTCCTGGTATTTTTCCCCACTCTAGATCTCTGCATCAGTTTTCAGAAACTCCCACCCTATCCAGAGGGACCAGTTTCAACTCTTGCCATTCAGTTGCAAGCATCCCACAAAGGTACGTGATTCCCAGGCACTTGTCCAGAAAAATCATTCTGTGGAACAAGGGATTTCATGAAATTATAAATAGGCAGCGGAGAACTGTTTGGTGAATGAATGGGTGAGAGAATGAATAAGGGGTTTCTAAACTCCAAGTTGCAAGAGCAGAATGAAAGAGTCAATGAAATGGGAAAGAAGCTAGGTATCTGTCGATGGGGAAATGCCAGATAAATTATTGATCAGTTGGTTTTCCAGCATTCAGTGATACAGGACTACAGAACTGAAAGGACTAGGTAGGGATGTATGCTAACAAAGAACACCCTTCAAGCCCTATTTTTGAGGCAGAAAGAAAACACAAAAAGATACGCCCAGCAACACGGTATGTTGCTATTTACCAGTCAGACAAGTGAAACTACAAACTCAGTGTGTGTGACTGCACAGCAGAACACCTGGAAGGATTCACATACATTCACAGGGAGTGGTCTGGAGTGGTGGAAGGTATGGTGAAAGGGCAAAGGAGTCCTGGTGGTGCAGTGGGTAAACATTCAAATGCTAACCTGACAGTTGGTAGTTCAAGCCCCCCAGCCTCTCTCTGAGAGAAAGATGTGGCATCTGCTTTCACAGAGACTGCAACCTCAGACCCATGTGGGTGATGCTACTCTGACCCTCAGAGCCACTGGGAGTCAGAATTGACTAGGCAATGGATTTGGATTTGGGGGTTTACGGTTAAAGGGGAGACAGTCTTAAGTAGTCCTTTTCAGCAAGGTGAGTGTATTTGATGTCATCCTTAATAATTGAATATAAATGAAAAGAGTTTCTAATACTGAAATTATGTTTAATGACAGATCAATCAATAGTTACATGCTTGTCCCTGAGTCTGTGAGAGATGGGAGAACGGGGTTGCATCTTTGTTCATTTGTATGCATTGGGTGTTCAACACAGAGCCCAGAACATGACAGATGTTCAATAAATATTTGTATGAATGAGTAGAATAAAAATTTGTACAATGAGGTTGATATGATGACAAATTAAATCTTTCAGGCAGAATATAGATTTCCCACAGGAACATTTTCCCTATTAGACATCTTTTAAGGTGTGTGTCTATGTAGGGAAGCGATATGGCGCTTCCAGAAGTCCAGTTAATGCCAATGGTTATGATATTCAGACCGAGTCACTTAAGGCCCAGAGCAAGGGCTTCTGGGATAGCTTTTATTCCTTAATCGAATCAGCAGGCAAAGCACCAGATCCTTGTGTCACATGAACGTGTGTGAACATGATGCCGGTTGGGGTCTGGCGAGTGGGCCTACCCAGTTACAGTGGCTATTGTTGGGGTGAATGGTTAACTAAACAAATTTTAATCTGTTCAATTTAAATGGTGGATTTATGAAAGTGTTATGTTCTATTTCAAATAAGCACATGGATATTTCTTTAAAAGGTAAATGCAAACCTCAACAAAAGAGCTGAACAACCCCTGCCAAACCTACTGAAAAGTTCAACCTCCAGAGAGACTGTGATTATGAAAACTCAATAGTCTAGTGACAGAACAGAAGCTCAGTGATTGGGAAGGGGCAGTCGTTACACTTGATACTTCTTCCTGAGAAGTGGTGTTATTATTTTAAGTATAAAATAACTGAGTAACACAATTTGCCACGAGCATTGCTTATTTCCCAGCAGAGTCCAAAAATGAAAACCAAATACAGGACCTATGTTAATCCTACCTACCTAGGAACCTAAAATCATTATTTGTAAGCCTCAGTCCTGGCAGTCAACATTTAATGATCTGTAGAAGTGAGGATGCCCAATTGCTCTGTAAAAATACTCTTCTTGGAGCCACCATTTATGACTTGTTCAGGTTTTCTTCCATGCCACCCATCTCTGTTGCTTTGTAGTTGTCAGTATGCTGCAATCTCCTTGTTAGATAGAATTTTACCCACGGGCCCTAGTGACACTGCTGAGTACGTATGACCCAGGGTTCACACCCACCCATTGCTTCATGGGACAAAGCTGAGGCTATCTGCTCTTGTAGCACTATGCAGCCTTGAGAGCCTCTGTAGGGTGGCCTTGAGCCAGAATTGACTCGATGGCATGGGGTCTGGGTTTTTGCTTTTGTTTTTCATTGTAAAATGAAAACCTAGATAATAAACGTATTGGCATTGCATGTAGAATAGAGCAAACTGTCTGAGTCAGGTGCAGGGGCTGTCCTTTAAAAAAGTCTGTCTGTTGTTACTGTTGGTTGCCACCAAGCTGGCTGTGATGTATGGTGACCCCATGTACAACAGAATGAGACTTTGCTTGCTCCATTATCATCCGTCATTGCAGTCACGATGTATTTTGAATGACTTCCGATATGGAGGATGCATCTTCTTGCCCTATATTGTACAAGAGTCTGCTGTAACCCATAGGGTTCTCAGTAGCAAATTTTTGGAACTAGCTCATCATCTCTCAATCTGGAAGCTCTGCTGTGAGTGAGCTGTTGATATCTTCAATGTCATTGGCACAGCATCCACATCATAGTGACATGTAAGCCACCAAACTTCAAGAAATAGCAGAGTATAGATTTCTGTTGTTGTTGTTGTTGTTGTTTTGTCAATTCAATTGTAACTCATAACCACCTTATTAAAATAAAACAAAACCTCACTGCCATCTAATTGGTTCTAACTCATGGGTACCCTTTAGGGCAGGTAGAACTGTCCCTGTGGGTTTCTGACACTGTAAGGCTTTAAGAAAAAAGTCTCATCTTTCTCTCTCAGAGCTGCTGGTGATTTCTAACCTTGTGGTTAGCAACTCAGTGTGCAAATCAGGATGCCATGGGGGCTCCCAGCGACCTTATAGACCAGAGTAAAACTGGCCCCTAGTGCTTCCTAGCTGGTAATCTTTTCAGTAGGCTCAAAGGTAGGAACGGTGGTGAGGATGGTGTAGAACTCATTCAGTTTTGTGCTATAACGCATCGGGTTGACATGAGCCAGACTTGGCTGGACTGCAGCGAACAACAAACAACAGGCACAATCTTTTCTGGTCTTTTTTCCAATGGAGCAGCTGATGGGCCCAAAGCCCTGATCTTTCGGTTGGAAGTTGGGTGCTTATCCACTGTGATGCCTGGGCTCCTTTAGATTACATATAAGATGTTAAACACACTATCTGTTGGTCTTTTTTGGTCCCTCTTTTACTCGATATCTGCAGAATTCATTCGTTGAGATGACTAGAAACACTGACTTTTCAAAAAAGTGAACTGTTACTGGATAAAAATATTCCTATTTTTACTGCAGCATTCCTGAATGGCTGGAATTTTGGGGAAAAGATCCCGTGGAGATTCTCTTGGATCTGGGATTTGGTGCTGACGAGCCAGACATTTGCACACAAATCCCGGCCAGGTTCCTTGGTTGTGGCTCTACAGCCAAAGGAATAGACATCCATGTGTTTCTTGAAGCTCAGAAGCAGCGGATGGACATTGAGAACCCTGACCTGTACGGTATGTGAGGACGACGCATTTACGTCTCAGCACTGGCAGTAGGGGTCATTGGAATGGGTAGGAGGTAGTGGAGAACCATTCATATCAAAGTCACCCAGGACTTAGCCTTATCACCGGTGCTCAGATTTCATTGGACGAAGTAAGCCACGTGACCACACTAGCCATGGGGGCAGAGGGAGGGTCTGCAATCCTACAGCCTTCCCAGAAGGAAGAAACTGGGCATCACTGGTGAGCAAAACTAACACTGACTATAACCACACTGGCAGGAGCCAGAGAATCACTCAGGCTCTTCCAGAGCTTATCATGTGTCCTCCTTTTTGAGATTCAGAATACTATTCATTCCACAAGCGATCCTTATTAATGACTTATCAGGCATCTATCCAGATTTGGGGAATAACTATGCTCAATGTTTCTAGTGAACCATGGAGGTGCCAGGATTCAGTGCTTGGTGAGTTTGATGGAGGTTCAAACTCACCAGCCATTCTGCCAGGGAAGGGTTTGGCAGTGTGTTTCCATATGATTATGGCCTTAGAAACCCAACAGGACAGGAATCACTTTTGTCCTATAAGGTTGCTATGACTCAGAATTTATCCTTGAGCAACGGGTCTTTTTTACAGGATAGTTATCTGGAATGCTACCACTTTTTACAGGTAAAGGACTATTTCTCTCTAGAATAACACAGAGGGTGCTCTTGGGGTAGGTAGATGATACTCACATAATTTTGTGGAAAGATGCAAGCAGAGGAGGTACGTTCACTCAGAATTCATTTAATGTGGCAGGTGACTACTTAATCTACTCAAAGGGATACAGAGTAAGTACAAAAACATTCTTGGAGAAGTATTGGAAGGACGTTTTTTCCATGGAACACAGCTTGAAGAATTCTGGACTAGAGAAAAGTGCCCAAACTCTTTATCTGAAATCATTCTTGTGAAATAACCCCATTCATCAAAGGTAAAGTCAAGTGAATGAAATGTTTTCTCAAACAAGTTCTGCTCTCGTCATGATGAGGGTGAAACAGGTCTCAGAAGCATAGTCATGAGATCGTTTTAAAAGCATGTATAACCTCAAGAATTTTGCAATATAACATTTCTTTTATTTTTTCTAGAAGATGTTAACATTTCCCTTTTGATCTTCTCTCCCAAAGATCCCAGAGATACACATTCTTGGACCAATTCTTTATTGGGGGATAAGAAACGACCTCTCAATATTAAAGAGCAGTTGAACTGATCTGTGAAATGATCATTTTACAGATTAAAATAACATAAAGATTAGGGAGGAGCCAGGATGGGTCCTTGACTTCTGTGATGGTGGCCCTTACTTTCACCACTTGCTCGTGGGCGCCATCTAGTGGGTTCCTAGTCCCAGCAACTCCAAGCACAACAGACGGAAACTCCACCCGTCTTGCACCATGGACACAATTGCTCCTGTCTGAGCCCATGACTGCAGCCACTGTGTCGATCCATCTATTTGACAGTCTACCTTCTTTTGGTGGACCCTGTACTCTGACTATGCACGAGGTCCTTTTCCAGGGATGGGTCACTCAGGATGGCATGCCCAATGCCCATGAAAAGAAATCATTCTACCCTCACTTCTGAGCACTATTCTGACCGCACCTCCCCCAACGCAGATTTCCACCCCCACTCCGGCAGTCTGATGAAACATTTAATAATGATCACCAACTCCATCATTCACAGGCATCCTTTCTTGTTCCATCTTCCTTATTCTTTCCCCAATTCGTGCATGTATATGAGGCCAGTGAAAAGAGTATGGCTGGGCCAGGATCATCTCAGCCTTCAAAGTAGTATCTGTGCTTTATCACACTGTAAAGACTGCTTTGCTTAATGTGTTCCCGTGCTGTTGACTGTGGATCCATGCGAACTGAGACAACTCCAATCTTTTCTCCTTTATCTGTTTACCATGTTGCTTATTAGCCAGTTAGGCGGATTTGTGGTTTCTTAGAGCACAATCCATACTGAAGGCCGTGGTCTTGGATCTCCCATGGCAACTGCTTCAGATCAGCTTCATGTTCAGCAATCGAGATGGTGGCGTCTCCATGCTACAGGCTGTTTATGAGCCTGCCTTCCGCTACTTCTGATGCCTTTTTGTTCTTTATAAATTCAGATTCTCGGGTTAGTGTTTCTCTGGATTTCTCTGCTTTTAGCCAAGAGACATATGGCATAAGCACTGATACCATATCTTCTTCTGAATCTGGCTTAAATTTCTGGATATTTGCTATTATTCGACTGCCATAACTGTTTTTGAATCATCTTTAGTAAAATTTTACTTCCATGTGATATTACTCATATTGTTCCAATAATTTCCTCATTCTGTTGGGACACCTTACTTTGGAATGGGCACATATGTGACTCTGTTATAGTCAGTGGTTTAGGTATCTGTCTTTAAAATATCTTGTTATAGATGAGTTAACACTTCAGCATTGCATGAATTTGCTGAGCCATTTAGATTGTTATTCCATCAATTGCTGGAGTCTATGAGTTGGCCTGCTAACCGCAAGCCCCTTTGTCAGAGAAAGATGAGACTTTCTGCTTCCATGCAGATTTACAGTCTCAGGGACCTGCAGGGTTTACATTTCTAAAGAATTCATCATTTCTTCATTTCATGTTAGCTTCTCTATCTTCTAAAGCAAGTTTTTGAGGGGTTTTTTTCTGACATCATTTTGATCTTTTCATTCTTTCTAGTCTTTTTTTAACACATTACATAGTACTTTTTATTTAGATGTTCATAAGGCAGATCTATGAGGATGGTATAAAAACATGGCACATGATTTAATAACTGTATTTTGGAGACCGAGTTTTAGCAAATATCAATTACAGAGTTATCAAGAGAGCACTATTTTCCAGGCAGATATTTTCCAAATTTCTTTTTGTC